CCATATCACGAAATTGAGCAATCAACACATCACCTTTGACATTTTCCAAACTTTCCTCTACAAGTTCAAGTCTATGGTCACTTGCTTCCACTCTTTGCTCATTCTCCTCTGTTTAGCTAGAAAGATAGGCCATTTCCCTAGTAATGACTTACATCATCTTCATAACCATCACGAAAATGATACAAAATCTGTCTTCATTGGCACAATATGGGTTGAATGACTCTAGAAGACACTGTAACACTCATGGGGAAATGGTCACAGAAAACAAAAGAAAGCTACCCAAACCTTTGTCCTGCCTAAAAGGGAGAAGAGGAACATGCATGGCTGAAAGTGCCCCTCTGCATTTAAAAGAGGCAGCATTGCCAGGCAGAAAGAGTACCCTTCCAAAGTCAAGTTGGAAAAAGCAATCAGCCTAGATTATTATCCTGATTCCCTCCCTAAGGAAACTACACTGCAGTATTTGCCAGGAAAGCCAGCATAGGGACAGCTCAAGCCTTCCAGACTGCTTAGAAAGACAGATTGACTAGAACAAGGGTCTGCAACCTTGACAACTTTAAGACTTGTTGACTTCAGCTCCTTAAAGTTGTCAAGGTTGCAGACCCCTGGACTAGAACAATCCCTCTTCACACACATCTACTTCAGCATTCCAAGCTAACGGGTAGGTCACATAAACCCTTATGAAGGCTGTAAACATGTTTGCAGATGCCTAGTTTAGCCACCCTCTGGACTTTTTCAAGAACATGGCTACAGTCATAGCTGGTCATGTTAGCTTACTTCACCCCGTTCCACTCAAGCCCTTGGCATATAAAGGGAAAACTGATGGCATACAGAGATGACTTTGGAGAAGGAATGCAAAACATGAATGAGAAAGAAAATTAAAGTTGCTTTGCCTTGATTCTCTTTGGTATAAGAGCAAGGAAAGAGGAGACACTGCCAATCTTCCAAGAGTTTGTTACAGTATATGTTATATTGATAAAGAAGATTTCCAGAAATTTTTGTGAAGTCTGCTTCCTGACCTGGCTACCACAAAAGTCTGACAGACGGAGAAAGCATATGCATGTTTGGGAGGAGGAGAAAAGACTGAAATCTGAGGGAAGTGATGATGAACAAGATTAGACAATAACAAGCATTACACAAGTCTCAGACATCCACCAAAAATCACTGCTTAAAACCCTGTTTGGAGCTAAAAACCCTGTTTTGCTCTTGACATTCAGCAGCAACTCTGCCCCGAGCTCAGATTAGAGCTGTGCAGCAACCCTGCCTCACAAACTGAAGTGAGCCAGACGCGAAACAAAGTCCCTTGTGATAATCTAAACTAAGACTGCACCAAACCCCAACAGTGGGCAAGTAATTCCAAAGGAGGCAAGGATTATGCTCCGCTTTAAAAATGATAAGAAATTAGGCTAGAAAAGGCTGAGAACACCAAAGGATCTGATTACTTGCTAAGCCACTAATTATAACTGCTGAAGCAAAACATTGCAACATATAGATTTCTGCATCTGTATAAATCATGCAATGGGCCTGTGCTCACTGAATACATGCTTGATGTAACTATGAATAAATCCAAATGCTATAGACTTCTACTGGGAAATATAGTTTTGGAGATGTGGAAAAATTCAGGCTTTGTACTCTTGTCTTCATGCTTGATGATTATTGGTGATCATTATCGCTTGGTGATGAAATATTGCTTCTCATATTTGGAGCAGATGTTTTAGAAAGGGCAGCTAATATCCCAAACTCCAAACTAAAGCAGATTATGATCCTTCCTAAGGGTAAGAGTAGTTTGACAGTGATAGCAATTACCTCTGTCTGGAACGTTTTAATTTGGATTCATGTGCTGGGCCATGTATTGGACGATGGCCCAAGTGGCCTCTCCCAGTTCTATGATTCGACTCAATGCATCATCAAGAAGTTAGAAGTGTATTATTTATATACACTTCCTGCCTTTCTAATGAAGCACCCAAGACAGCTAAGAGTTATTAAAATACTAAAGTTCATGTTTAAAAATTACATTTAGTAATAAAAGCAGTTAACAATTAAATCCTGACAAAAGAGAAGCATCTTTATGGATTTTCTCAATATAAGGGCAGAAGAACTGACTGACGCAGGGAATGTATTCCAAAGCCTGAGAATGATGCAGAAAGCCATGTCTTGTGTTCCAGATGAATGAGCCTCTGACAGCTCACAAAGGCCTTTTCTACAGAGCTTCACTGGCCTTACAGTTTCCTATCAGAAGACAATCCATCTGATAATCAGATCCAAAGTTATTTAGAATTCTAAATAATGCCTAAAAAAGAACTGGCAACCAGAGCAGATCTCTGTATTTTGCACTAGTTAGTAGCTAGCGAATTTTGTTCCAGTGACAACCTTTCAAGGCTAGGACCACTTTGTAATACCGGTACCAAAAATAGGATGTATGCATGGTATTTGAGCAACCATATAATGGTTGTTTTACATATGTGGGAATCTATTATTTAATTTATAATAAAGATATAGATGACAATAATTTAGATTTCTTGGAGCCCCTATCAAGCTCACTACACCCCCTGCCCAAGATGAAGGCTATATAAAGGCACTACATATCACAGGGTCTTCAAAATGTTAACTACAATTGAAATAAAACAAAATTGGCCTAAATTCAACCCCAATTTTTTCCCACAACGTAGCTACAAACCCTTGGGTTTTTTCCTCATTTGTCAAACCTGTCTCCTATTTGAGTGAGTGGTTCCATTTGGTTATTGAAGAGGAAGAGAGTTTCAACCCTTGACTGCTCCAATGCTAAGTGTCACAGGGATTGGTCCTTTTCCATGTTAACTATATGAAAGCACTGGGAGAAATGATGTGGCTGTTAGGGATGATGTGTGTTTTAAAGTGGCTATAACAGAATCCTATAAGTTTGATTGGGTTTATTCTCCTAGGAATTCTTCTAAATCTCTTCCATATATTTTCAGTCTGTTTTAGACTTAAAATATGTTTAACCTCTCATCACTTTAGTAATGGATCTTGCATATCTCTGTCAACATCACCTTCCTTACTCTCTATAACAGGCATGTTGAACATGCGGCCCACAGGCTGGATGCAGCCTGCGCAGGCCATGCCAACCCCAGCTCATGGGGGGAAAAAAATCCCGATACATCACATGCGGCCCACAACGTGATCGGGTTTGACACCCCTGCTCTACAACATGTCACCAGTGAGCAGTACATCGTAGAGAGATGTTAATGTACCAGTTAAACATCACTACTTAGGGCCAAGCTGCAAATGGGCTGTTGTAGGAGACACACTGGGTGAGCCAAGGGGAGGAGTCAAACAGGGAATTAGTATGGAGTCCCTATGTGGGCACAAGAAAACAAAGTCTGATCCTTTTGAATGCCATTGAACCTTATCTAGTCACCTAGGTGGCAAATTGTCAGTTTGAGAAGATTCCTGGGTATAGGCATGAACAATAATAGCAATAGCACTTAGATTTATATATGGTTTCATAGTGTTTTACAGCCCTCTCTAAGCGGTTTACTGAATCAGCATATTGCCCCAACAATCTGGGTCCTCATTTTACCAACATTGGAAGAATGGAAGGCTGAGTCAAACTTGATCAGTCAGGATTGCTCTCAATGGAGCTGCAGTTTCCCAAAAGAACTGTTCTGTGACTAGGGGATCCTTCTGGAGTCAAACTTCCTGCTGGAACTAGTACATTGTTATAGCCATGACCCAGAAGCTGCAACTAGTACAATTTGTGATACTCAGACTGTACTGACTACAGGTAGGCTTCCAGACTCCATTCAAAATGCTGGTTATGTATGAAGGCTTGTATGGCATAGCACTGGGTTACATCAAAGAATACATTCCCAAGTATGATTCGCTTTGTGTAGTCCAATCATCTAAAGAGGGCTTGTTAAAGGTCCCATTCAAAGGAATTTAAAGGAACCAAGATAAAAAAGCATGTCTTTTCAATAGTAGTCTTGCATTGTATGGAACAGACTGCCCCTAGGGATGTCATTTAGACTTTACTAAACCATAGAACTGTTTTGGCTGATTCTAATTGCAGAATCACCAAGAATCACAGATAAACACATTTAGTCCTTGGCAATATAAATTGATCTAGATTACAAATTTCAAATGTGTGGTCTGTGGGCCATTGTCTGAGGTCTCAGAATTACTGCATGGAACTTTAAGTCATTTTCTGTAATAATACATAAGAAAAAAAATAAGTTCTGTAGGGCATGGACCTCTCAACTTGCAGGGACAGTCCATAAGAAGGCAACACTGTTTCCTGCCCATTTCAATGGGTGAATAACTTGGAGTAGAACAAAGTAGACTGATGTGAAGAAGAGAGTGAAAGTAAAGATGCCAGTTTTCTGGCAAACCAGAACCAAAGAAAAAAGCATACATACATAGCAGTAGAGTTGCCATACAACTAGCATAGCTCCTCATTTAAGTATTACCACATTACCACAGGGCCAGGACTAGCTGCTCCGTACCTGCTTGCTCTGCTCTTAATCTGCACTCTGGAAATGTAGTTTTTTCTCATTCTAAAGTCATAACAAGGAGAGGCTGGGATGGTAGAGGTGATGAGAGAAGCAGGTAAGTGGGAAATAACAGCCAATGGATGGGGCAGTGATGTCCTTTCACCCTTCCTCTCTCAGAGTGTCTCTAGCAGAAGGAAGGTTTCACATGAGGCATACTGCAGGATCCATAAGGCTAGGGCAGGGTAATAACCTGGGATCAGTCTGGTAGGAATGGGGTGACAATGCTACTACCTTATCATTGGGTTTCTGGGATTTTTTTTTTTTTTGGAGACAATGTTTTCACTACTCTTACAGACTTTTATATGAATGTATCAGGGTTTGGTGTTGATGACTGCATCTGACTTCCAATCTAGACTTGTATCAAACTTTGGAGAAAGTATTTTAGGTGACCTACATTTCACTGACACTTTGTGGAAACCATTACATTTATATGTATCAAAGATAAAGCAAAAATGAGGGCTTTTTTTTTTTTACCTGATTTCATCTTCTGCATTGGTGACTGCCTCATTGTATTGATCCAAAGTCAACTTGTAGATTTCAGAATTCTGAAAATGATCAGAAGTAGCATTCAGCATAAAGGAAAAACAATATCTTAAACTACCCAATCATACAGAACAAGCCTTAAAATGCTAAGGAGAATTGGACTTTTAGGCAATCAGTATACATTAAGGCGACCACATACTAGCATTTCCAATGATTGATTGTGATAGCTGCAGCTGTTTGAAGTAGTAGCCCAAGCTCATCTGGAAGGTACCTGATTAAAGAAATATGCCGGAAAGCATCAAAGATATACAATCTTGGGGAAATTAAAGATCCCTAATGATTTTTATTACAGCCAACAGAGCCATACTTTTTATACTGAGGACAAGGAGCAAATTAACAATCTACCCCTTAAGTCTGGGGTGTCAAACTGCCAGCCCGCTAGCTGGATGCATCACGCCAAAACCGTGCCCACCCCATTGCCGGCAATGGGGAAAAAGTCGCGATATGTTGCGACATGTCATGTGATGTTGCGAGTTTGACACCCCTGCCTTAACTAAAATAAACCCACGCAATACTTGAATTAATTAGGGTTGTGCAAATTCTTTATTCCTAGAAAAAATATAAAACTAAGTGGTTCAGTATGTATTCACACACAGTTAAACAGACAGGAACACATTTTGAAGCAGTTGCAACACTCTGAAAAAAGACCTATTTTAATGTTTTAAAAAGTTGTGATTTGCATGAGTCTGTTGTGAAACATATATTTTGAAGGATTGTCCTTCCTTCCTAGAGCATGCGTTTCATATTTGGGAGATTAGCAATACGGTAAGTGCAGTATAACTAGTAATTTATAGTTATTGTCAAAGAACACAGTAAGTAAATCAAAAGCAACAACAAAAGCACTAATTCTTGCAAATGATTCTTATATACTGTATTTTTTTCCAATTAATTTGCAGTCACTGAGCAAAATTTCTTTCTTCTGTTCACACTTACTCTCCTTCCGCCATTCTTGGAAAAACAAAAGTTGAATGCAAGATGCTTACTTTTTCTGCCTACCTACAGCCCCTTAGCAGAAACTTTTGCATGTTTATACTTTTGTCTATTATTTGTTTTTACAGAACTTATCAACAAACAGGCTTGTGATATTCCTTCCATACTACCTATATGGAAATGGTATTGTCAGATGTATTTTTATACATTCTAAAAAGAAATCACAGCAGGTAATTGTTTTCATAGATTTTAATACAAAAAAAAAGTCTCTCGGGAGCTAGCAAATTACAGATGAGCCCTTGCCTCAAAATGGATTTTGGCAGCAAACTGATGAGGGACTTAATCTGCTTTTTATGGCATAATGGTAACTTTTACATTGCTTTGGAGACTTCGTACACACACATAGTCATACACTCATGTCAAGAGTGTCTAGTTCACATATTTTAATGGCACCCTTTTTTTCACCGTCCCGCAACTCCCTTCCATCTCCTCTTTGCCTCTGAAAAGCCCAAAGACCTATATTCTATTAATTAAAACTGTCATTAAAAATTAAATATTGTGAACAAGTAGGTGTGAGCATTATCTCCATGGGTTTCGTATGTCACACTGTTTCTTCAATTACTTTCCAAGCAATTTTCATATTTCATAGCGTCTGATTTCTCACAGGACCCAAATTTGCATGATCAGAAATATGACAGAAAGAAGAAAGAGAGGCAAGAACTGAAAGTAGCAAAACGAAACACTTTCTTGGGAAACAGAGGGAATCTATCTCATCAGGTACCATTAGTTAGCAATAGCAAGCAATAAAACAGCAACAGGAAGAGAAAGCAAGAACAAATATGTTATAGTTGAAGTTTAGCATGAATTTCATGCTAAAGATGTAACTCACCTAAAAAAAGACTAACCCTCTCCCCCAACACACACATACACCTCATAACAAAGATAAGAAATGCAGCTAGCAGGCAAAAATATTCCCAAGCAAGGATATAATTTAATATAGTTGCACAAGAAACTTTGACTCTAAAAAAGGGAATAAATCAGCATAGCACTCTAGAGATAAGGATGTCAAAAGTGCAGGAAAGTCTGTTGCTCTATATTTAACCATCACGTTTCTGAGACCTCTTTCCACTAGGTGCCTTTCCTTGGCATTAGCAATAGCCCTGACAAACCAAATGCAACGCAAATAATGAAAAATCAATAAAAGGGGTAATTCAAAAATTGGAAAGCTTTTAATAGGCTTGTTAGTGCTTTTAAAAAAACTGTAAGCAGCATATAATTTCATAAATGGTGAGTTTCAGTGCCCACACTCCTTGTCTGACTGACTGCCTTCCACTTCCCCCTAGTTGTGCCATAATCTTTTGGCTGAACTGATGCTAGCTAGCAACAGCAGCTCTTTACTTACACTAAGAGTGAATAAATAAATAAATAAATAAATAAATAAATAAATAAATAAATAAATAAATAAATAAATAAATAAACAAACAAACAAACAAACAAACAAACAAACAAACAAACAAATAAATAAATAACCCCAGCGCTGATTATCTTACACACCCCAGAACAACCTAGGTAGAAAAAATGGCATGAGTCACTGGGAGGAAAAAGAAAAGGGCAGAAGATAGAAAGGAGTAAGGAGATGGGAGAAAAAAAGTTCAAAGGACACTAAAGACAAATATTGTTGCAAATTATAAATATAATAAATCATAACAAGAATCTGAAAATACAGAAGACCGTAAAGAGGCAGTTTATTTATTTAACAAATTTATATAGCCGCCCAATTCACACATATGGGAATTTGAAATCCATGGAGTCACCCTAAGTTGAAAGGAATAAGATACAAGCTAAGAATGAAAGGAGGTGGATATTAAAAAAAAAAAAGAATAACAAAATTTGATGAGTAAGAATATTTAGGAAGTCATATGGTAAGTAGATAAGAAAATACCCCCCCAAAAGGGGGTCTCCACACTGAGTCCTTGGATCAGTAAATCTGACCTGAAATGGAATAATTCACATGATACCTCCAGGGGCAACATTTGTACTCAACTTCATTAAAGCTGAACCATACCTCCTACCACAAGGAAATTATTGTGGCAAGGAATGTTGTACTTCCCAAGAGAGATTACATACTAATAGATAATTATAACAGTAATTGCCAGTTGATAATAGTCAAACTCCACCTTCATTTGCTGCTGTTTCATTACTGACTCCTCTACCCCTGTTCTATCATTCTGTTGGCTGCAATTATTTTTCTTCTTCGGTTGAATAAAAATATTTATGTCTTGGTCCCGTGCCATGCCAAGTACTTTCATTTTCTCTCCTCTCCTCCAACCACCAAAAATCAGAAAGTGTTCTCCAACTCCTAGGTAAGACTTGGAATCCACCTCACAAAGAGGATCTTTTTTTCCCAGCATCTAGATGCATCTGCAGCTTCTTTCAGAAAACTATTCCACTGCCATAAGAAAATGTTGTTTTGACTCCGAGAAAGAGGAGGGGAGAGCCAAACTGTTCAAGAAAAGACATCTTGAGTTTGGGAAAAGAAGGAAGTGTGAAAAAGTAACTCAAAGCAACTCCATTTTAATTGTGTTAGGTATAAGTTGAAGTAGAGGTGAGCTCTGACAGACTTTCAAGATTCTGTTACAATATTCTAATTACATTAAAATACATTTTCCAAACTACTAGCAATTTTTGTTTCTTTACCTTCCCAACTTTGAAGGTCTGACAACAGCTAAAGATATCCTACTCTGAGGATCTACTTCTCTCTAGATAACATATGGTACAGATAGGAATATTCCAATGGGACCATAGGATGGAATATGTGAGTAATTTCCTCAATTTCTTCATAGTGCATTTTAGATCATGAATAATTTGACTCCTTACCTATCTGTTACAGTCTTTCAGATGATTTATTGTCAGAGGATAATTGTAATCCACGAAGCTTCTCAAACTTGGTCAGAATGGGAAGTTACAATCATGATTCCAGGACCACAGCCCCCTCATTCTAACCCACACATGAATTTCCACCCACCAAACCACTGGAAAAAAGGCACCACTTAATTAAAATTAGTAGACAAAAAAGCAATGGATAAAAGCTGTAGAGGTGAAGACACCCTCATTTAATTAAGACTAATCAGCACTTCCTACCTAAAGTAGTATCTTACAAACATAGAAATGCTGAACCAGTCTCTGCATCAATTTGCATGCCTTAATACCTAATCAGGTTTTGACTTCTAAATAATTGACCCATTGCTGCCTCTGCACTGTTCTTTTTTGTTAAGTGCTTTCAATTTGGATTATTGGCCATCATCTTGGCTTTCAATGCTTGAAGGCAAACCTGTAGCCTTCAAAGTGGAAGAGTTCTGCGCATCTGTTCTCCATAATATACTAGTAACTCTAAGTATCAGCTTTTAAAATGAGACCAGCAGATTTTGAGTTGTCTTCCATCTAACCCAGGGGTGTCAAACTGCCGGCCCATGGGCCGGATGTATCATGTCAAAACCGCACCCAACCCACTGCTGGCAATGGAAAAAAAAAGTCACAATATGTCACGACACGTCATGTGACGTTGCGAGTTTGATACCCTTGATCTAACCCAACAGAATGTTAGAAAACAAATTGCATAAGGGGGTTCAAGATTCTTTTTTCCTAACTAATCTTCTCAAAACAGAATAGAATCAATTGTCACATGGCAGGAAAGACTGGAAAAAGTAAGAGTTTAAAAATGGGCTGGATCCTTTCAGAACCTACCCCAAAATGCCCAGTGTATCCCTACAGGA